AATATATTTTTGTATTTTGCTATATATAATTATAATGTATTATAGTATAGTATTTAAATTATGGTTGATGATTTCATCAATTAGGATATTACCCTTGATGATCTGTTGATGAAAAACTCTAAAGAAAATTATAGGTGAAAAATCAAATATTTACGGTATGCCGCGTCGTTAGCATTTTCATTATTTTTAATTTTTGCAACTTTTGTTACTACCAGAAATATATTCCAATAGAAAAACAACGAAATACCATTTTTGTTTGATTTTTAATCTGGTTGGTAACTAAGAAAGTCTTTTTTTGTTGATTTTCTTTGTAGCTTTTTTAATAATTGAGTAAAACCGAAAAATATATAGAAATATATAGAAATTACGGGGAAATTTACGATAATAAATCTGTTATTATTTTAAATTTTGTTTTTTTTTTTTATATATCTCAATTTAAATGCGAGGTTTTCACGTAATTTGTATTTGATAAGTACTCTATGGATAAAACTGTTAGACTTATCAGAAATGTTTGAAAATTTGACAGGATGTCCATTACAAGTCGTAATTAGTGGAAAAACAAATAAATTGAGTGTGATGTAGGTTTTTTTTTTATAAGAGGTTTAGAATTAAATTATGACGAACATCGTAAATATGATGGCCTTTAAAATCTGTATAACTAAATTTCGCTCCGAATTGTTTTTCGTTAGCAATAGTTTATCGTTGATTATAGGTCTAAATTAAATAACTTTATGTATTCCACCTTTTAAATTACCCACCTACTACAGTAGCCCCAAGTATTAGCTCTTTTTATATTTGTTTTCATTTGGTTAATAATATTTATAGAAATCTGAAATTTTACATTGGCTTTTGTTGAACTTGGTAAATTGATTAAAACATTCTGGTGATTTATGAGCTATTTATAGGCATTTTAGATTTTCCTGTTTATTTTTTATTTTATTTTCTGGTAGATACTATAGGTATATGTATAAAATTATTGGATCAAACAGAAATGATTGAAAATTTAACACTAGGCCATACCCGTCCCCTGTATCAGCTCTTTTTTAATTTTAATTTGTACGTGACTATACCTACCTAACCTGTGACGTTCGTGCCTTGTATCCTACTTTCTCAACTTCCCGCTAATGTGTCACACCCATCCCCAATATCGGCTTTTCCTTTTCTTAATAAAAGTATTAAAAGTTTATTACTTTAATGAAGTAATTTAATAAAATGATGGTTATGTAAAGTCTTAACTGGGGTCTACAATATCACTTATAAAATTGTATTGGGCAAAGCGTTGAAAGCCCTTTATTTAAACCCTCCGTTCCCTATTAGAAAATTAAATGTAGATAGTCCACTTTTTCTACACTTATAAAGTGTTAATGTTGTTTATTTTGTGATTGTAAATTTGATGAGCACAAAAGTAATCTAATGGAATCTAATCATCACTCTGTATATTATATTATACATTATAATTATAAAAAAAAATTAAGTAAATTGTAATAATTCTTAAACATTATCATTATCTCTCTTATGACTCAATCATTTGACCACTCAAGTTTTCATATTACGTTTAATTATTAAAAATATCTATGAATAAAGTACTATTTACAATAAAACTAATACTACTTATTAAAAGTATTGCAATAAATTTCAATAAATAATTACTGGTATTTTAATATTTATTCATAGAATATTAAACTTTAGAATTCTACAAGTAATATTATTTGTAAAGATACATTTAAACAAAAAATAAAATGAAAAACCTCTTAGGTTTATAATCTTATAATTTTAGATTCTGAGTGGAGCGAGGAATACATAAATTTTACCATAAAAATTCTTTATTTATTATTTTTTTAAATTTATGAACAACATTTCTACCTGAAATTTCCATTCAATTTTCAAGTGTAGTACTTTTTCTGAAAGGTAATAAATATTTTTTGTAGTGTTCATTGATTAGTATTTAAACAAAGTTTGCCTAGACTTAATGACTTACGTTACATAACAATTTTAAATATATTTGTAGCACATCACAGTATTAATTGTAATTTATTTGCATAGGTCCATACAATTATGAATAAATTAGTATATTTTTTTTTACTGCGATATTGCTTAGTATTTATATATCGGAATAAGCAGATTTTTTAAGTAAAGAACGTATGATATATTAATCTAGTTGCGATAACATGGAAGGTAATCGTATTTAACATATTAATTGTATTATTATACTAAATACAGTCTTTGTGTTTTTTATAAGTATAGTAAAACCTTATAATGCTAAATTTGAAAATTGTGATATATTTAACTTAAGACTAAACTAGATTAAAATAGGAGGAAGTAAACAGGGAAGTAACTTAAATCTTAATGGAATGGGTGGTAGTGATCCAGACTAAGCAGCATTAAGATGACCTAGAAAACGATGTAGGGTGTGATTAAACTCATAAGGAGGCAAGTGAAAAAGAGATTGAGATCTCATGGATTAAAAGGGGTCCGGGAAAGAAATAATTGATAAAAGATTTGGAACATCGATGATACCATCAAGAAGAAATGAGATAAAGGAATCAGTTTTAGCTCGATGAGAATGAAGATTAGGAATGTCAAGGGTAGAACGGATGAGTGAATAGTCTGTTGGAAATGCTTTATTTTTAGTTGGAAAGCAGCATACGACAAAAATTTATTTTATACATGTTCAATGCATAGTTGGTCAAACTCAAAGTGGGGATGTTAAATCATTACGACATACTCGCGTATGGAGCGTACGAGGGAAAAATGTAAAGCACGGAGAGAGTAGCGAGAGGAAAAATGAGAGGTGTTGCGCTTAATGTAGTCCAGAACTCAAGGCTTGATCGATAGAGATGTTTAAGTGATGTTCGAATGAGAGACTGTAGGGTGTCAAATTATTAGATAAAACATTAAGTGGTTTAAAAAAAATAAAGTTACATAACTAGCAACTTAAATAATATAATAGTTAAATGTTAAAACATATAAATTGTACCTATATTCTAGGCTAAAGAAAATGTTCAATATGGCGGCCTCCTATCGGGGGACACTTTTCAATACACAAATGATATGCAATGCGCGTTCCATGTATAAAGTTGAATGACTACACCTCTAAAATATATTAAAATGTCTTGTGTATCTGATTTTTGAATTATTTTTAGTAATCTTTTGTCTGTGTCAAAGAATTTTTAATTTTTTCAAGAGGTCTTCTTTCTGATTGTAATTGGTATAAATATGTATCCTTTTCAGCATGAATTTTTCATAAGCACGTTATAAATGACCATAATGTAGAATAGACAATTCCAACTTCAACATTTATTCTTCGATTGGTAGTCTCATGATTGTTCGTACTATGCACACTCTTTCAATAGTTTTTAAACAATCGTTATCGTAAAAACGTACATTGTTGAAAAAGCAATATTATTGTTCTTGAAAACTAAAAAATGTGATAAGTTTTTGATTTGTCATAAAAAAAAGTTTATTTTAATGTTTTTACGTGTAAAAATTATATGAATATATCAACAAATTTGTGTTCATAATTTTTCACGTTTTTTTTTGCTTATTTTAATAATTGTAATTGCTTTTTTGAGAGCTTATAATGAAGTATTTAAGTGCTTTTTCAACGCTTATTCTGATTATTATAAGTGCTATAAGTCTAATACCCTGCTTATTACTTATTTTACGAAAGAAACAACTTCATAAACAATACAAAATTACTAATGACCACACTGTATAAAATTAATTTGCCTGATCACGAAGCTTTTGTTAATTTGAATCTAAGAAGTGTCTTTTACATTACATTCATAAAGTACAGGCAGACCTCTCTTCAGATCTAAAATATTTTTGGCGTTACATTAAGGAACTAATATTTATTGATGGTATACGAAATATAATGAAACTGAATGACAAAGTAGGAACTAGAGATCATGAGTTATCTAATCTGTTCAAAAAATTGTTTAGCTCTGTATACTCCGCCAAACGTTTAAATTTATAATTGTTCGTTATGCTTTGGTATATTTCCTGATCAATGGAAAAATAGTTTTTATTCCAATCTACAAATCGGGTTTAAAAAACAATATTCCCAACTTACTAGAAAAGCTTATATTGCCTTATTAATCTTTCTTTCTCAATAATTTATTAAATTTAAACTTTTTTTCAAAAAAAAAAAATAATTTTGGATAAATTATGTTAATTTACCTAACATGAAGCCAAAGAAAACAACAACTGAACGACAATATTGCAATTACTCAACACATTTATTTAACTAAATTATTTTTTTTTTTTTTTTTAACAATAACATTGAAAATACATATAATAATTTTATTACAAACCGCAAATGTTTATTATTTGTTGGTTAAAATTTAAGTTAAAAAACAATCAAATCATAGTATGAAGCAGTATTATGTTAGCAATGGTTTATTGCTAACAAATATAAATCAAGTACCTCTAAGTAGAGGTGGGAAAAAAACATCGATGTTTAGTTATTGATACATTGGAGAAAATATCGGTTTTGAAATTTTGTTTCGCACCAAAAGTTATCACACATGTTTTCATGTTTATTGTATTTTGCGCCACACTGTTTTTCTTTCGGGACGCCGTGTTAAATTTAATTGTTAATAATAATTTAATTTTAATTTACAGTATTTGCACTGACTTTTGATAATTTGATTTAGATAGTCTCTTATCAAATTGTATATTTATGTGTTTCGTATGTGATAAAAAATATATTTAAGTCGCTATCAAAGTAATTATATATTTTCTTATCTAAATATAAATTAATGATAATAATCCGCCATTTTAATTCCATTCGGCTCTTTGTCCCTAGACGCTTGTAACGTAGTATGCATTTATCATGCAGCAGCTTTATCCAATATCCATTGTATATAATCTTAAGGCAATATTTAATTAATGCAATCTTAATAAACGGTCCGCTTTAAAAACATTCCGACGACGGATAAAATAAATAGAGGCATCCGTCGAGTCATCCGATAACAGATGCTGGTTTATCTGTTGATTCTTATCTACTCCTACTTTCTATTTTGATGCGTTTCCATTGCCGTTGCAAAAATGGACTGTGTGAAGAAGGTCGAACGAGGAGTATTAAATGTGTCTACTGTCAATATCCGCAGAAGACACGTTACTTGACTGCCCACATTGGAAACTCTTGGTGGCTTGGTTTGTTTATAGCAGGAGCACATCACTCTTAGTAACGTCCATGGCCTCCTCTGTGGATCTACTGGCATTTAGTCCTGGAACATTGATTGTATCAGGCATGACCAACTCTCAGCCGCCTCGGCAATCAGTACTTCTTCTCCATGCTGGAGGAGGACATTCTGGGTCGTACGGAATAGGACGAGAGGACAAAGGAGATCGGCGACTCACAGCCTGACTCATCAGAAGAATGGGCAGATCGATGGGTTCTGCACAAGCATCCAGACCGGCAGTTTCATAAACCGGGCAGGGAAGATATCGATTCTTGGCATTAGTTAAGTTATACAATAATGCCTCGTAATACCATGCTAATTATTTAAATCATCGGTTTTCATATTTTTATTTTTTTAAAACTCATGTGAGCAACCCGGCGAAAGGGAAAAAAGATTTGTATATATTAATTGTAATTATTAATAAACGATGGCAGTAATAGAGAAGTATTGTGAAAAATAATTCCTTATTGTTGTCAGTTAAAACTAGAAAAAAAAAATCTGATACTGGGCACGGCTGTCACTATTGTAGGTGGCTAACTTTTGTTACACATGTTTTGAAAGGCCGTAATATTAACGATTTTCGTTGAAATTTGACATTAATTCTTATAAGGAAAATAATAATGCGCTATTAATAAGTTTGTTCCCATTAAATTAATTTTACCTTCTACATTCCCTAAATATACATGTAGTATTCTCAAAAGCCTCATAATAATTAAAAAGAAAGCCCATTCCCTTAATTTATAAGCGAACCAAATTGTTATCTGATTATCTTGTTTTCACCAAATTAAGAGCAAAAAGTAAACGCCAATCAAAAGTGGATTACTCCACTTATATTAGCCACACAGAGGAAGGATTGTAATCCTCCCCCGCCAGCTTCTGAAAATTTGTTAATAATTTAAAACAGAAATCTCCAGTTCCTTTTTCGGTCCATCTCGATAACATTATCTCGAATACCCCAGCCGAATCTGTAAAATTGTTTTCAATCCATTTCTCCTCGACGTTCAACTCTTCTATTCTTTAACCTCTTTCAAATACTGTCTCATCTGATTACTCATCGTATGAACTTTCTTCCAATATAACTTTTTCTATTAGCTCTTAACTTAAAACACACTCCAACGGCCCGGATTTTAGTCAATATTTGTACAATTGTCACTATTCTATTGCTTTTTCTATCTATTTACTGTTCAGACGCTCAATAAACTCAGAAGTTTTCCTTACTGTTTGGAAGATATCTTTTTTCAGTATTAAAATCAGGTGACCTAACTAATGTTCAAAATTACTGACCGATTTCCATAATATTTTATCTTATTAAACTATTTGAATCAATGGTATACTCTAGAACAAAGCGTAGTCAGCTTACTAAAAATTAGCAACATGGTTTTATTTCGCAAAAATCGACTATAACGAGCAGTGTTGCCTTCATTTTCAATTTAGCAGAATAGAGCACGAAGATCAGGTTGATGTCATCTTTAGTTTTTAATAAAGCGTTTGACACAGTGGAATATGGTCTTCTAATAATGGTACTTAAGTTTTTAGGAATTGGTAATTCTTTCTCGGTTATTCTCTTACTTTACTGGCAGAAATCAATTTGTAAAAATCAAAAATGTTGTCTCTTAGTTATCCGAGATACCTTCAGGTGTCCCTCAAGGTCACCTTCTATTTATTCTATTTATTAACGTGGTTATCAAATGGATTACAAAGGTTAAACTTTTTCACTTTGCTGGTGACATAAAAATTTTCCTCAAAATTGATAATCTTAATCAATATTTTAAACTACAATCCGATCTCAATATTTTTGTAAATTGGGCGCGTGATGTTGGTCTTAGCCTCAATACAAATCAATTTCATATTATGATTTTTTTTTAGACAGTGATCTATTCACAATTATTTTTTTAATGGTACCACTCTTGACCGTGTTTTTCTCCATAAAGATCTTGTTATACATTATACTCTATCTTTAAACTTTGAACATCACATAAGTGTAACCGCAGATAAAACATTTAAAGTCTTGGGATTTATTAAGCGCAACACCACTCATTTTTCTTCTGCTTAGTTTCGCGTTAGTACGTTCGATATTAGAATACGGAGTGGTAGTGTGACATCCTTACTTGGCTAAAGATGAATTAAGACTCGAGCGTGTCCAAAATAGGTTTCTTTCCTACGCAGCTCATATCCTCAAAATAGTACACCCATCACACAGCTACTCTTTAATTCGTAGTATATTAGAAATTCAACTACTTTCATCCCACCTAAAAGACATTGACGTGCAATTTATTTCTTCACTCTTAAGTGGCACCACAGATGCTCCTGATCTCCTATCAAACATACAATTTCGTATCCCTTTCTTCTTCTCCAGGCATCACTCCTTCTTCCTAGTACCAATCTACAGTACATCCTACAGTAATAACCACCCCTTACATAGAATGCTTCGTAATTTAAATAGCCTTGATTTCGATTTCAACCATAAGTAGTTAAATGTACGACTAGTTGTAATGTTTTTATATTTAATTTAATTTTTATTTATTCATTTTTTTTTTTTTTTTCATTTTTTTTTTTTTTTGTAGGGTGGTAATATATCACCATCTAATCTGTATTTTGTTCTCTGTATTATTTTCGTTGTTACTGTGTATTATTACTATTATATTATAAATAAATAAATAAGTAAATACTACTTCACACTCAATTTTTTTTTTTTTTGTCCATTAAGGTACAACTTATAATAAACCACTTGTTAAATTTTAAAGCATTTCTGTTTAATCAAACATTTTTATCCAAGTACTTATTAAAAAAAATATGTACAAAAAACGCAAAATTAAAATGCCTAAAAATAATTCAATTTTTTTTTAAGTTTCACCACATCTAAAAAAGGCAAGTATACATTTTCTGTCAACATTTCAAGTCTCCACGAAGATTTTTAACTGAATTACAAAACAAAAAAAAAAAAAAAAAACAAAATTAAAAATACTAAAAGCATTAAGATAATGATAAGATAATGTTCTTCGAACATTTTCCCATTCTTTCTAGGTTTTTTTTCAGTATTGTTCAATTATTAAAAAACTATACGGAAAACATAAACCGTAATAATTTAAAATAATGTAATCATAACGTTATAAATTTATCAATTTTCATTTTTCGTCTTTTTCCCAGTTATTATAAATAAAAACTACTTGGAAACTAAATCAAATTTGGTGCTATATTTGATATATTGAAGCACGTTTTCTTTTCAAAAACTAGTGACAGATAAAAAAAATTAAAAATAACACATCATAGTAGAACCAATAGATTTTTTGATTTTCTCTGAATCTAAAAGTTTAGACTTACAACACTTACAAATTGGTGTGTTGATAATTTATGAATTACAATGTAATACTTAAGTAAATATATTAAAACTTATAATATGAAGTGTGATTGATAAGTACTCAGACTGTTTGAAATTTCACCTCAATAGAGTGTCTGAGCAATAATTTTAATATCACTGGTTTCTGTGATATTCTTGAGCACACATTTTTTTTTTGTTACATAACCTATATTTTTGTGTAGTAGCGATTTTAGAATGATTTAAAAAGAAATTTTTTGGTGCGTGTTGGTTGACGGGGGGGAATAGGATTTTTTTTTGTGATAATCAAATCTTGGTTGAAAGAAAAATGCAACATTTCATATGATTCATTTTCAAAAATTATAACTGAACTGTAGAAACAAGCAAAGTGTAGCAACAGCAAAGTTTTTCCTGAGTATGTTTAAGATCAAAATAAATTTTAGTTTAGTTTGCAGGAACTTTTTAGTATGGTAATTGCTAATAAAAAATGTTTGCATTAACTTTTTTTATAATAATCATTACTCCTATCATTACATAGTCACCAGAATGAAGAAAAATCTTCTTTGACCTCTCTGAAATGCGCATGAGTTCTTCTTTTGGGTTCATTACTAAATCACCATTCAAAAAAACATAGATTAAATCAAAACTAAGATTATAGAGAATCTACAAAAATAGACGTGGTGTATAAAATAGATGAAGTGACAGAAGTCAGTGATATCAATCTTAATGTTCTACAACACTCTGTTAGGGTGCAATTAAAAAAATTCTGAAACTTTTTGATCACACTTCGTAAATCTTAAATTTTTTAATGTATAAATGAATGAGATAATTATAATGAAAACGGATGTTTGTACATTTTTATAGCCTCATATTACTAGGTTAATGAATAGTATATTATTGGTTTTATGTTATTTAAGTATGTCATTTACTCATTAAAATGCAATAAATGATAGACATCAGTGTTTAAAAAAAATTTACCTTGTGCGGGTAGTTTGCAATATTTTTTTTTACTTTCATGAAATTAATTACATAGTGATAATATGATATATTATTTTATAACCTATTCAAATAGTCAGAGACCTTGTTTTATTTACAATTTTAATAATGTATAAATATAAAAATGGACTAAATAGAAGTTGGGCAAAATCATGTTTGTTTTATTTACTCATATATTAATAAAAAGTAATAACGTAAGGGAAAAAATGCCATGTGCGCATAATCGTGTTGAAGGAAACTTATTACGTGTTAACCTTCAATTAAAATGTCAGGTACCTATAATAAATTGATATCAATAGACAATATAGTAATTATATAATTGAAAATATTTAAAAGTAATCTCTTCTACAGTTACCTAAATTTACATAAGTAGTTAAATAATTGTTTTTAAATTATTTATGTATTTCGTAAGGTTATGAAAATTATAATATATTTTTTAAAAAAACATTATGGTCATGGAACTGTACTTTTAAATTAGATTTTAACATTTTACAATTGAATACCATACAAAATATATTTACTTTTTTTAGTATATAATCTGGAAATATTAAGAATTTACAAATGATAAATCATTAATTTTTCAAGTGTAATAATATTTGATAAATAATTGAATAAATAGACAAAAACCAAACTTAAGAGGAGTTAAAGAATTGTTTAAATCAAAATTGACCTAATTATTGTAGTTTAAAAAATAATGCGAATCAAGAATCCTAAATTTTGATTTTATAAATTATGCGTTTATGGTACGAACTTTAATAAAAAATAACAATAATGATGTACTTAAATAAAATAATAATACCAATGCACGTTCATAAAGAATATATTGACAAATCATAATTTAACGTTACACATTTGCGCCATTTTGAAAACCAATATAAACCAATAATGGTTTAAATCTATTGAATGAAGTAAGAAAGCTTATTTTTTTTCATTTAATTTATATTTTTTTTTTCATTATATCCCTTGGTGTAACCACCAATTTGATGTATCGCATAGTTTTTGTTTTAAACGAAAAAAATTAAATAATACGTCTAGATCAGTGAAAGGATTAAGGTAAACATAGTTCAACACACCACTGAATATGATACAATTTAAAAATAAAATTTCAATCAATTTTTAATTTTTTGAATTCCAATAATTTTTAGTGATAACACAAACGCTACTTTCTAATTCAAATCTATCATTAGAAATTAGAAATGTTATTGTATATTCAAAGTTAAACATTGTACTGTTATGTGCTGGACAGAGATGAATTGGCTGCAAATTTTTATAACATTATAAATTTCTTCAATAATAATATGTAAGGTTATATATAATGTAACTGATATATTAATATTTAATACATAAAGGATGTGAATGGATTGAAATATCAAAGGTATAAAATAAATAACAATATTGTAATTATTATTTTTTTAAAAACGGTTCTTTTATATTATTTTAATTATTCATTTACTAGTATAAATTATAATTGTTTGTCACTCGACAAACAAAAGATAAAAGGAAAAAAAAAATTGAGAACAGACCAGTTAATCATGTACCTAGCAGGAACATAGTACTTACATTGTTCCGCCCATTTACATTAATGCTTAAGACTAATGGAAAGGATATTGTAGAAAAAAAAATTAAAATATAGTAAAAAAATTATTAAATACCACTTGGTTCAATAATACAAATAATAAAAAAAAAAGTAAAAATAATATTTATAATAATTAAATCATTATTTGTTGTTTACCTGATCATTGGAGAATTATTAAGCAATGACAGGTTTATATTCTGGCATTGAAGAAATAATATCCTTATCGTCTTCTGAAAGATCACGAGTAAGTAAAAATGTGTGTGCACTTCCACAAGCCACTTGTTCTACATAAAGTCCATCAAGTTTCTTCATTTCACATGGTTTGGCACTGGATTTCTTTAACTCACCAAGACCCTAAAATATTCCAATGTATTTAAGGTTTTTATTACACAAAAATAATTTATGTTTTTAATTACCAGTTCACCAGAACTAGTTCCAGAACCCCAAACAATACACGAATCATCAGCTGCTGCTACTAAACCAATAGAACATGTGCCAATACTGCGTAAATTCCAACCATGAAGATCTTGTACCGGTTTCGGATACATATTAGCTTCTCCTCGACTGCTCATTTGACCAAACAAATAAACAGCACCTAATATAAAATATAAATACATTAGATAACAAATATTAAAAAATAATCCAAGCATTTAAAATATAACTAATAAATTTGTTTATAAAAATTGATAAAATATTCAATTGTGATACAAAATATTTTTAAGAAACATACCAAATTCATTGATTGCAATACTGAATGCAGGTCCACATGCAACATACTTTACACCACTCCTTTGAACGTCAAAGTATTTAATAAGCCTTGGTTGCAATTCATCTTTTGGTTCTGAATGTCCAAGTCGTCCATAACCACCAAATCCCCAAGAGTACGCTTTTTTGTGATCATCAATAGCAACCTGAAAGGAAATAAATTAATTTTTTGGAAATATATATATATTTTTTTTATCTTACTGTATGATTTGTACCACACGCAAAATCTCTGATTTCAGGTTTTGGCAATATTTCTACTTTATTTTTTGTCTTTTCAACAAAAGTCATTATGGCCTTAGGTTGTTTTATTGTAGCAAAATTAATTGCACCAGCCCTCTCTATATACTCGCCATTAGTATTGTGTCCTAATTGGCCATACTCTGGCAAACCAAATGAATACAAAGTACCCTTGCAGTCAAGCAAAATACTGAATTCAGCACCGCAGCCAACCTTGACAATCGGTGGTCCATTATATTTAATCTAAAAATTTAATGCAAACTTTATCAAATACAAGAATATTGAACACATTTAATCAAATATTTAGGAGTACTTTCATTTAATATTTTTAGTAATAATAAAAATTAAGTTTTTTGTATGTATTATTGCTGGGTACAGCCTAATTTATGGTTTATCAATATGTGTACATGTAAATATGTACTATACTGACCCTCATTGCTGTAGTAATTAAGGGGTCTTTGCTCTTCACGCCACACTGACTATTCTTGTTATCACCGCAACTGTATACTGCTCCACGATCTTAAACATATAATTACATTGTTTAAAGACTATAACTATGAAAATTAATAAAGAAAATAAGTACCTACAATTTCATTTTTTAATCAATATATAAATCAATATTTTTAAAACCAGTATAACATTGCATTTATATACATAACAAATAATTTTACATGAATGCAATGTTTAAATAAATATTTTCCGGGGAAAAAAATGTATGCAAGAAATAATCTTTATAAAAATACCAGTGAGAAGCAATGTATGGCCACGGCCAGTAGCAGCATTAACAATAGCATGATCAGGTAAGCCTTCAATTGGAGTAGGAATATCACGTCTGAGCAAATCTTTAACTCCAAGTTGACCTCTTTCATTGCGACCTGAAAATGTAGTCGTAAAATTAAAAAAAAAAATTGAATAACTGGTATAAATATTTTAATACATACCTAAAGACAATGCTTTGCCTTCCTCAGTAATAAAAATGGTGTGTGAAGAGTTGCAACTACTCACTACCAAACGAATACGAGTATCTTTTAATGGTCCGAATAAATGTGGTTCGTATAAGTTGCGTCCAACAGACTTGCATCCTTTTGGCATAGATTTGCGGCCATTTAAATCCCAATTAGTTCCACCAGTCAAAAGTACAATACCACTGTGATCCGGACCCTTTACTCTCTATTGAATAAATTTAATTTCAATGTAATGAAGTATCTTATATTTTTAGAGAATTAACACATATTCTAGATATTTAATATTTTATTATAAAAGAACCTAGGTAGACATGTTTATTTTAATCATTTCAAAACTTCATTCAGAGTCTATCTATCAAGATTATTAATACTTAAAAACCATTATACAGAATAAATGTTTACAATTCATAAAAATCTACCCACGAAACATGTAAACAAGAAAAAAACTTTGTTCTATACATAACCTATATACCTATGTAAGGTAGGTACATAAATTATGATATAATTTAAAATATACAAACAAGTTTCTGGACAGAGAAAAACAAATTATTTATCTTTGATATAACTTATTAGATATTAAAAAGGTAGAATAAATTAATAACCACCTTTGTATAAGACTTTAAAAACAAGCAATAAAAGCTATCGGCATTTTATATTAAATTAAATTTTACAATTTCACCGTTTACATTACTTAGGTATTAGGCAACTATGTTTACCAAAATAAAGTAGGTTATTAGTGGTTATGTTAGTACTTGGGTAACAATATTAACAATTTATTTCTTCATTAACATTAAAAACAAATATTAATAATCCTTTTAATAACCGATTAGGATTTAGTATTACATAAATGGCATAAATGGATAATGTTTAAGTGTAGGTTACCTAAATGATACAAAAAAATTGTAGGTAATGATAATTACATTTTGAACACAAATTTACAAAAATGTTAGAATGGTCAGATATTGCAACAATAAAACAATATGTTCCTGTGTAGGTAGTCGAGACGGTCCAGATGGAAGCGATTGGTAGATTATCAAACAATTTATGGACAAGTGAGTGATGGTTTATCAATCAGTAGAACACACAAACAATGTAAGAGCCAATGCAGTGGACCCATTTTTAAAAAGCAATACCGACCAGGTTACAATTATACTGTTGCTTGGATTCAATAGGTTAGTAGGGTAACTTACGAGGGACGCATTGTCCTCGGTCATTTCGTCCACATCGTCGTCGTCGGATTTCCGGTCATCGTCATCTTCTTCTTCGCTCAACGCCGGCGGGTCATCCTCGACGATCTTTGCCTTTTTGCGGGACACGCCATTCGACTTGCCTTTGGGTTGTCGTTTGGTTGACATGATGACGTTAGGTAGATAGATTATAGTTTACGATGATAATATTGTGGAACCGTGGCTTACGGTTTAGCGATGAGAGTATGCACAAGGGATGGTACGTTAACGGGTAAAAAAAACGCGAACAGTTGAGATTCAAAGTGCGCGAAACGACAGCGTGTAAACACCAAACAAATAACTGGGTACGTAAAGGTGGAGAACGGAGATCGGGTCAAACGACAACGGCAATGATAGCGGCGGACGCCATTAAAAGTAGAAAAAAAAAAAAAACCCGGTGAGAGCGAGAGAGACCGATCGCCAATGACGGGGAGGGGGAGTGCGTGTGTGTTGTGGACGCACTCGGGGGAGCGAGAGAGACGGAACGGGACGCGCACGGGCGCGCGCGCGACCGAAAGAAAGAGAACCGGGTCCCGGTGCGAGTGAGACGGACGGGGAAAAAAAGAAAGAAAAGAGATCGCGGCGATTGTTTGTTGTGCGGTACGCACGCAGCCCGCAAACGAATGGTGCGTGCGCGTGTGTAAAAAATCGGGGACCGCACGTCGGTGGCGCAGCGGTGCAGCTGCCCGTAGTGGTGGGGCGGGGTCACGGTGTATTACTCCCACCACCGGTGTCGTGTTGCACCGATCCGCATCAACATCCACGGCGGCGGCTGACGGAGACGGACCACGGTGGCACGGACGACATTAGGCAATACGATATCCACATCTGGCTTCGGCTCCGCTGTACCCGGGTACACGGCAATCATCTCTCTCCCCTGGGAACAACAGAAGTGAGCGATTCTTTGTGTCCTGTTTGTGGTTACAGGAAAAAGAAAAACTCGCGCCAAAACCACCGGGCTGGAGTAACCTAAACACGTACGAGTGCCCGAGAGGGAGTTCAAGATTGGGAAATGTTGCCCCTCAGCCCCTGCATGGTTTTTTTTTTGTTTTACCCGTCTATAAATCTACATGTTTGACTTACGAGTATATTAAATTAAATAAATAATATTAATTCTCAATTTATTTCCTAATAAAAACATAATCATATAAGTACTGTAATCATTGTACTAGGGTCTAAAATAAGTACCTACATCAGATAGAGTTAATAGATTTCCATAAGACCCGTTAAAAAAAAAAATCCGCGGAAGACGCTGTTTTTTTATACACTACTTAGGTAGGTATCTTACACATTTATATTATTTATAAAAAATGTGGCCTAAAAATTATTAACATAAAATAAATATAAGTATATTAAACATTTTAAAATGAATAGGTAGTATGTATTGGTTAGTGTGAGATCATTAATTGATTGTTTGTAATCAGCTTTACTGTTATTTCTATAATTAAAACTAATACCTACACATGTTATACGATTTGGTACATTTGTATAATTCAGGGAACACACTTTGAATTACTTTGAATTATTTTGATATACTCTTCATATAAGGACACATTATTTTAGGCCCTTATACAAAAAAAAATCATTTATTTCAGATTTTGAGCGAAGGAGTTTTACTATGATAATTCATTTTTTTTTTCTGGAAAACACGTTTCCGGCCAGTAAAAATATTCTGGTTTTTTGCACAGTGACTATTAAAATATGTGAATTTTCTGCTCTAGTTTGCAGGTGATACCAGCATATGTTTTCTCCACTCTCAGTCTTAAAAAACGTACGACCAATCATTACAAAATATTGTCTGTATAAATAAATCGGTAATCAATGGTACCTAGTAGTAAATTTGCTATGTACTAACATAGCAAATTTGAGTTTAGCAGGGACAGCATTCTTCTGTACTTACTGCTATTGGTTTTAATAAACCAATTATTATCAGAATTAGGATTATCTGTACAACATTGAGATTTGTATGAGATGTATGTGAAATATTGCAATTTAATTATGTAAGTTTCACGTTCTTTTGTGCACTTTTGTGTATCAATGCAATTTATATGTACAGTACCGTTGATTGTGCATAATATAGTCTATATACGTGAAATGGCAGACGCGTAGCTAAGTAAGTGCGTAAGTATCGTAAAACAGGATCATTTAGGTCAATTTTAAAAGTTCTTGGTTATAAATTCGTAGAATTTTGAGTTAGAAATTTAAAAATAAAGTTGTAACGTTAATTTACTTAATTTTTGACTAATGTCTATACTATTTTAATTTGTTTAACAGTTACTTTTTTTTAAAAATTGATTGTTAAAGTTGTAACTGTATTCGTCCCTTGACGAGGTGAATAAAATCAAAATATTAATATTGAAGTAAAATCCATTTAAACCTTCTAATTAGTGAATAGGTTAAGGAAGTAAATACATATATATATTTTTTAAAAAAGACAACTTTTAAAGAACAGTTGTATATAATATTTAATATATTTATGGTACTATTTGTACCATATGTACCATTTGTACCAATGTTGTTGTTATGTTTTTTTTTTGTTAAATAATAAAACAAATAAAATAAAACTTTACAAACAGATAATAGTCGATTATCTTTAAACTTGGCTACCTAAGTTTCTTCTTTTTCTAAATAGTATCTAAAAACATTCTAAATTCAAATTGTGTAAAGGAGTAATATCAATTAGAACATTTTAAAATATTTTCAACTATTTTCGACCTTTTTCCACTCTTTCTGCAGGTAAACTAATTTGAACTCCTATTTATTTATTTTTTTGAAATGAAATGAGGGTAATTTTTATTAAATTTTTGTTGATGCTAAAACCGATTGATTTTCCGCTGGCAATTATTTACAACGCATTTTCTAATTCCTCAGTTCTTTGCTGTTGATGCCTAATCTGTTCATGGAAGTTCGGAAATAAAATCGGGGATTCGTCTTATTAGGGAAAACAATAATTTTATTTACTTGCAACCTAGATCCAAAATTCAATAAAAAAGGTCTCTTGTTAGTTTTTGAAAAGGCGCTCATAACACACGCATACACACACACATACACAAAAGTACAAACCACACATCATAGTCAAACCAATAGGTCTTTTACTATGCTAAGAATCTAAAAATAATCGTGGCTAATGTTGAAACTATGTGTACACATTTTAAGTTTAAACTTGTATTAAAACCATCTAGTTGGGGTCCGCACTATATAGGTTTTGCTTAGGGGTTTACAGATTCTAAATACGAATCAGTAATCTAAACATTTTTGGTGTGAAGTATGTCAGTTTTTATTTATAGATGAAAGAATCTATTTTCAATAAATAATAAAGTTCATTTTTTTTTTAAGTCTATAAATTAATATGGTAAAAGAAAATACAGTCCAAAAAGTAATTGAAATGCCCGCATACAAAATATACGAAAATTTAAATTGGCGTAATCCTTGGATCCATACCGTGTTTACTGCTCTGATTGGCGTTGACAAAGGTAATGCGATTGCAAGAGGTTGCAACCAAATTGTTATATAATCAAATGGCCAAAAAACACCTAAGATATAATATTATCAAATTAATTATATTACTATTTTAAATGTATAACAAGCATAGGAGCAACTAGATCTAACTCTGGAGGTGCTATAATTGTGGACACATCAAAGACTTATGAAGTCTATGCCCCCACAATTCTTTTTACGCAACTCTTACAATAGTTAACTACACCTATCATTTATAATTTTTTGTATACAAATTTATCTTGACTATTTTAATTTTGTTTTTTATACACACATGATGCATTGTCTGTATTTTGTTCTGCTAATTTATTATGAAATACATGAATAGAATATTTAGTCATTACTAAAACCTAACTGGGTTTTATTGGAGTGCTAATTTTAAACTTGGGGGTGCTAAAGACCTCCCCCCCAGCACCCCCTAGTTGCATCTATAATAACAAGTATGGATAATTACCACTCATTGTTATATTTATGAAGAACACGATCAATGACATATGGAATACTTTGTTTGAATTGTTTGCAAATGAACCAATAAATAAACCTGCGAATTATAAAAATCTGTTCATGCAATTATTAATTTGTATACTTACATGTTTGTTTAGGTACTTACCAATGCTCATTCCACAGATACCAATTCCAATGTCTAGTAATATAATTAGTAATACGGAAGTTATCCAGCTAATATACAGAAGATAATCAACCAAAAGAATTAAACAAAATGCTTGTATTATTGAAACAATGATTTGCAAACTAATAACACTTAATAGGATTTCAAAAATCGTTACGCCTGTTTTTTTTTTTATTTTAACGAAGTATTAAAACTAATTATATATTTTATTATTATATACATTATATTATAATTTTTTATACAATTTTAATACCTGCTATTAAATTTCTCTTCAGGTATCCATTTTGAATTTCACTTTGTAATAATAAGGCGGAATAGAGCATTGCCGACAAAAATATAGTACTGAATTAATCAAAATATAAATAAATAAATATAAATAATGGAAAATATCTCATATGGTGTTAACAATAATGCTAAAATATTTAAAAATAGGTAAGTAGGTGGTGGGTACTATGTTTTATAATTTATAAAATTTAAATAGTTTACTCGGTTGGTGTAAATTGTTATTATTTTGTTATACTTGCTATATATTATAAATATATATATATATATATATTTGAGATAAGTACAAGTATTAGATATTTAAACTATTGATTATAGATAGATCTATATAATAAATACGTAAACTTGAGGATATTCAGAAAACAATGTTCAAATTTTAGCGTTACTGCATAGAGAAATTGTAAAATGTATGTATTTTGAACAATATTATTACCACGATATTATTCCGCTTGCTGTATTTTCGGTGAGCTGTTCATTATTGTATTTATTGTGTATCTGATCAAAAAACATATAATTTTGGATTCTTGTGTATCTACTTAATAATTATTTATAAATCTAAACAAACCTTTAATGGGATTTCAGCATATTTGTTTGACATATTGTAATGGTTGTATATGCTTATCAGATGTAATCGGTGAACGTTCATGAGCTTTTGTTTTAAAAGTTTCCCAAATTCGAATTCTATAAACATCTAATATTTTAGGATTATCGAAATTTACCACTAAGTACGTATAAATTATTAAGTACAGAAAGGAAACATGTTCGAATTTCTCAGGAAAAAATGAAAAACAAATTTCGAGATAGTTATGTTATAATGCTAGATGTTTTTTATAATTGTCCAATGGACAATGTCCATATTAATTTTATGAAATATTATTAATATCTAGGTTAGGTTAGGTGTTAATGTAGTTTTTTGTCTTTCATAAAAAATGAAAAATTTGAACATGTATCATTTCTGCATTTAACGATTCATATTTTATTAGGTATATTTTATAATTAATCTTAGTTACTTAACATATCTATTTCAATACAAATACTCGACTTTTCCAGTACATCATAAGTCTCGTCTAATGTGCTTTCTGTTATACTTTTAATAATTGCTTTTGTGTAGTTTTTAGGAACTTTTATGTACCCCAGAGTTAATCCTGTGATAAAAGAATCTCTGGCCAATAATTCAGAATCATAATATTTCTTTTCCATAACAAAAATACATTTTTTTTTTTTTTAGGTAGGTGTTTTAACAGGATGCCGTATACGATTTATACAAACAATTAACTTACTGTTTCAATGTTGTTTGTGGAGAATGAATTAATGAAATTACAAGAAAAATAAACACAATTTCTAATATGCTCGCATTGATTATTAACACAATCTACGGTTTCTTGATTATAGACTGCAATAAACATTAGATTGGGATGTTCCCCGTAATTTTTACAATAAAATATGACTTGAAGTGTTGGAATTACGCATATCAAGATAAACATCCTAAATATAAAATTATAAAAACCAATTAAATTTTCTGGCACAAAAAAAAGTAAAAATTACCTATGTTGTTAACGTACCATATGTTTTTCGTTAAAAATTTTATATTTTGAATAGTAATCGTTTTTAACTTCCAAATAGTTGACCTCGGTTTGATTCGCTTATAAAGGTTTAACTGAAATATATATAAAAAAAAAAATTATATATATATGGTTAGATTAGATAGGATAGTTAAGTATCTAAATATTTTTAAAGAATGTTTTACATTGTGAAACACATTAGCTGTAAAGTTTTGTACTTAGAATTTGTAATAATTACTATAAAACGCATATGAAAGATTTTTGTTTGATTGAAGTAAGTATTAATATAAAATTAATAATAGGTGTGAATTATATTAGATCATATTACAGAAGTACTTGATTTTAAATTTTAGATAATATTTTTAAATGTTCGAACTTCGAATAGGTTAAAAATTATGAAAAGATGAAAGTTGTTTTCGTGATTTTTCATTGATTATTTTGTAACTACTGATTATCTTATTGCTCAATTGATTTTCACCCGGGTATTATTAATTGGGTAATACAATTATAGTAATCCCGTATAATATTATTATTTATTTAAAAATTGTATGTAGTGTATATAGTGTATATGGAAATCAGTTAAGTTTAAAAGATGTATATTGATAGATGCTTATTATTACCTAAATAAAATTCTGTCTCGTTTTAAATATTATAACCATTATAATTTCCATTTGAATTATTCACTCACCCATACTATAATAAAGTTGAGTTATAAATGGAATGTTTAATAATTGTATAATGTGCAACTATAAAAATACGTTTGCTTATAAACATATGCTATTGAGTAAAGTTATTTGTAACTGTCATTCCGTCATTAATTTTTTTATTAAACAAGCTTTGCACAATTGCTTTTATTTATATAGCTTAAAATAAGTCTATTGGAATTTGAATAAATAAGTGACGAATCAGTTTTAAATATTATTAATCTATATTCAATATTTCTTAACTTCTCATTAGTTATAGTGTTCATTTTAGTTAAAATATAATAATTATTAAAATGTTAATAAAATTAATATAATATAAAATTAATAACATGATTACGTAGTTACCTGTTAATGTATAACAAAATTAGGTACTTACTTTTTTATCAGCTGGTATCTCAGTTTGATTTGAATTGTTCCACTCGTCAAACTAAATTTAAATAAACAAATTTAATAATAATTAATTATAATTTACTTTTTTTTTTTTAGGGTTAATTGTTTAAACCTTACAGACAATTTTTCAAAAATATATATAGCACGATAAAAATTAAAATAGGGTATTATAAATTATTTACATCCACATTGGACATTATAATATTATAAAGATCATCTACGATGACATTTATTGATTTATTTGGGTTCATTTGTTGTAATTCTTTTACTTCTTTTTTGAATATAATTTGTCCATTTTTCAGATACGCTATCTAATAATTAATAGAAAACAACTAGAGTAATTTTAATAATTTTAGTAATTTTTGAACAATAAAACTAAATACTTCAGTTGCTAAAAATGCTTCTTCGGTAGTATTGGTCGCTATTATTAGCGTCGGTTTCCATGTTCTGATTACGTGATACAAATATTTCCAAATTCTATATGTAAACAAATTAGTGTGAGGTTCCTGAAAATAATCTCCGATTGGTATACGTACTGTTTTCTTTTAAAAACATCAAGTCCCACAGTTGGCTCATCTAATACTATTAATCGAGGTCTGTGAAATACAGCTATTAAAAAAGATACTATTCGTTTTTCACTGAAACTGTATACATACATACATTATATACATGTATTATTATATTACAATATTTAGTAAGTTTTTAGTTTACAATTAATACTTATTATTAATATTAACACTAACCTTAAATTTCTGATTATAGCATTTGCTGGTGGTAGGGTAAACAATTCGTTATAATAGTTTATTCGCCATAAAATAAATTGGTAATTTATACTATATAATTGACCGAAATATGCTAAAAGTTCAAGAAATGTCATTGTCTGATATAAACAAAATTTCTAAAAAAAAAATTATTATTTAATAGTTTAATAATTATTTTTTTTTTAGGGGCCATTTTTTCAAATTTTCTCTCATTTTGTAATATTTAAAAATAACTTTAACATAATTATAATCACTTTAATGATAAGACTTTCACTAAAATAATGTTCGATAATCATTTAATGGGAAGGGTCACCTACAACCGTTTTTACGGACGAATACGATTTCATGAGGTTAAGGATAACTTACTAAAATTAGTCATTGTCAATTCAATATTTGTATGTTATTTTTTCTTTAACTGAATAATAAAATTCAAAATTCTTCTTTTTTATGGTCTTTATTAAGGTGTATGACGGTTTTCATCCGCAAGAAACTGGATTACTTGTAAATGTATTTGAAAATTAATTTAAATATTTATGCGATTTTTCGTGAAAATTGCCTAGACAAAACTCCTTAAATATGGCCGGTATCACGGCCTTCTCCTAATCCTTGTTTATTTCAAGCATGTCTCCTGGGGGACTGCACCTGCCCCGACCCCATCCACTGCCTCCCCGAATAAAATTAGAGAAAACTTATGTATTTCTAACTCATTTAAACGTAATTTATAATACGAAACAATGTATTATTTAAGTTTTTTCTCTTACGTGAATAATAATTTATGATCTATTGAATTATTTTCTTATTCGAACGTTGCATAATAATTATTATCTAGTCTCTCTAGTTACTACTATAACCACGCCATCAGGCATAAAGTATTTAAATTTATTTATAGATTCTTATCGCCGAATAATATGAACTATAAAATAATGTTTATAAATCGCTCTCCTTTTATTTACGATAAACCTATATTAAATAGTAATAAAATTAACTTTTAACAAATTGATGAGGTCAAATTTGTTTTTATTTTATACTTCTTTCCTCCCTCCCACTGGGCAAAAAATAATAGATTAAATAATAATTATTTGATATTTATAATAAATAATTTTCTTTTCCTTTACCTTAATCCTATATATTTGTTGTCGGTCACCCTCGTTCTAAACTTCCACTTGACCCGATCTTCCATCTCCCCTACTCTCGCTGCACTCATATCTTTTTCAGTTTCCCTCTCCACCTCTTTCCTCTTATATTTATTTTCATAACAATTTTTACTGCTTCAGATTCTTCTCTACTTATGACATGTTCAAACTATCTAAGTATATTTTTTCTCATATTGTTTACTATCGATGCCACAACCTTCCTCTTATGTACTCATTTCTTATCTTATCGTCTCTCGTCACTCCACTTAATTATTTAAACATTCTCATAAATGCTGCACTCATTTTCTGTTATTTTTTTCTGTCTACCATTCAATACTCCGAATCATACAACACAGTCAGTCTCACTATACTTTTGTAGAACCTACGTTTCATCGGAGTTCTCGCTTTTCACATAAAACATTTGACGATTTGTTTCGCTTTATTCGGCCACACATAATTCCATATTTGAAATTTTCATGATAGCCACCGTTCTTTTATACAAAATATTCTAGATACTCGAAACTCTCAATCTTGCCTCGCTTATTGTCATTAGCTATTTAACTGTCTTATTCTGTTCCTCTAAACTCATACTCTGATTTACTTCTACTTATGCTTAGTTCCTTTCCTTCAAGTGTTACTCTTCATTCATCAAGCTTATTATTAACTTATTCTACATTTCATCCTATCAAAGCTATGTGATCTGAAAACATCATGGTATCTCCTCTAACATTATTCCCGTGTATATTCGAAATAGCACAATCCACCTAAGTCTTGTTTAGAACTCTTCATACTGATTGACAAAATTGTACACTGGCTGTCGACCTAATGCAACCCTATTTGTTACCTCTAACGACAGGTAGAGGTACCGTGGTACTGATCCCCTCCTACAGAGAGAATGGTATTGTCAACTATAAAATGAATTCCTCCACCCTACAGAAACAATACCATATGTCTACTGGAATTACTGATTTGGGATTTCCACCAATTGGAGTTCGGGGTCCCGCGTTCACTAAACCCGTAGTACTATAATATGCCCCCTTGAGATGAGATAATATATTATACTAGATTATTTATAAATCACTCTAATTGTAAGTACTTATTAGATAAAATAGCTTCTCTTACTAGTTACTAGTATTATTATTATTATATTAGTATTGGTGTGGTATTGTATTATATTATTATGAATAATTATATAATACGATCGACCTATCTAAATCGTACATTATTTACGCAATTGTTGTTAAGTAAGTATCAATAATAGTATTACCTGCGGCATGTATCCAATGTTTTTAGTAAAAGTTTTGCTGCTTTTTGTTCCCGGTTGGCCGCCAAGTACCCATATATGTCCTTTATCTATTTTAGCACCACCAACTAAACAAGAAAGCAGCATGGATTTACCACTTTTTATTGCACCAAGTATAGCACATCTGTAAAACAAATATTCATATAGTTAATAGATTTAAACTACAATGCTAATTATTAATTTTAAGATTTTATTAGGTTTTTATGGAAGGGAGGGAGAGAGGCTACAGAGATTTATAACAGTTAAAAGTATAATTGTAATTTTAAAATTGGTGACAATACAATGTAATTACATTTGGCCGCTGTGTGCAACTAAGTTGACATCATTAAAAATGGTTTTTTTTCTATAGGTTTTGAACACGTGATTTATTACTACAGAACACCTTGAAGGCTTTTGAGAAATGTATATTCCATGTTTGAAACGTCCATTATTCATTTTAAACTTTACTGTAGACTATCTGAAAATTAATTAAACAATTAAATAGGTACCTATCAAAATATATTTATTTGTTTTACCAGAATAATTTTACTATCAAAGTTTGTTAATTTGTGTAAACAATTTTAGACTTTACTATGATGTGTTTTTTTCGTATCTGTAAACAAATATTTTATATATAAAATACTTAATTTGACAATTGTAAAAATCGTAAAATCTCCGGCATTTCAAAATATGTTTTACCAAACTTTGCTCTAACGTTTTCGTTAGCAATGGCTTATCTTTGCGTACAGATGTTAATTAAAAATAACTTTTTGTATCCTATACTGTCACAACTTCCGACCTACAACAGTAGCTGTGTCTATTCCCAGTATCAAATTTCTTTTTTTATCTTTTCTGAAAGGAAATTTCGTCTTGGTAGTATTTTAAAGAGGTCATTTTTTGATTTTTTCGGTTTTCATAATAATTGGGAAAAACGTAGGAAAAACTAGAAAATTTACGTACGCATATAAAAAAAACTTCACTACGAATCTTTTTCCAGTAACAATGATGTACAGATATAAATTAATTCTCCTCTATATTTTACCTTCCCAACATCTCACACACAGCAGTGACTCATCTATTGTGCGATGTATGACAGTCTTTTTTAACTGATCATAACAAAAAAACAAAATTGAAAATAATTATTGAAATTATTTCCGTAAACTTTCTTGCACTTTGTACTTTTTTTCTGGGTTTGCTCGATTATTAAATAAGCACAAAGAAAATCTAAAAATTACTTTTTTTACTCACTTATTAGATTAACAATGTAACCAAAAAATGTCTGTTGTCGTTTATTGATTAGAGTAATATTTTTGGTAGAAATTATGAAGCCTAAACACTTAAAATAATTGTTTGTCAGTTTTAATTTTCCGTGTTCATTGGGTTTTCCCAATTATTATGGAAAAGAGTTTACCAATTAGACCCCAAATGTAATAAACAATATATCCATCAAAAAAAGTTACTTCGCATTTTTTGATTGAAGCAAAATTTCTGGTAATAAATATAGTTCGTAAAATTAAAAAATAATGTCACCGATAACGCCGTGGTTGAAAAGTTGTTTTTAGATACAAAAAATACAAAATACAAAAAAAAATACATAGTAAAACCAATAAAAGAACTCTCATTACGCTCTTAATTTAAATAGAACCTAGGGGGTCAACTACTGAAAATGTCATGAAATGTTTTATTAAAGTTCCATCGGGAAGAAATTCCGCTTCTTTTTGAATAGTGTGTGAAACCATTGGACTAATTGCCTAACCAAGAGTGTTTAAAAAATGAACATAAAAAGCTATTTTCAGGAAAAAGTATTTTAAATTTGTAAAACTTGTTTAAATAAAGCAACAACGAGCAAACAATTCGCATATTTATAAAATATAAATGCATGGAAGAATTTAAACATTATTACTAACTGTAAATACTCTTCTCGAGCAAAAAGTATATCTTTGAAAAACTAATAGCTTCTTCGTCATTATATATTCAGATTCCATTCAATACTTTTTTGCAGTCATGTCCTGGTATTTTTATTGGGTTCGATATCATAACTATATTTGTGGTTTTTTCTTTTCTAGGACTATATTATTTAAATCAATCTTCAAGTTAAATGACAATAGTGCGTTTCAAAACAATTACAGACTATTATACTAACATTTAAAAAATTATTTGTTGGAGGTACACCTACCTAATATCGATAGTCCAAAGCAAGCAAGGAAGAGCAAACACTTCTAGTACTGCAACACGATTATTATTTTATTATTAATAAATTATTTACGTAAACATAAATAATTGTTTATAATTAATAATATTATCGGTGATTATGGTAACGTAAAATGTTGACGAACAGACCGGAAATAAATGCATATTTCTATTAATAAAAGGGAGTAGTGTCATATGTCTGTATTTAATATACAGCCGAATTTATATCTATATGCACCTAAAAATCGAATTTTCAAGTTGAATCTTGGATATCTCCCTAAATGGTGGCTCACGCAGAGTTTTTGGTTAATTCATTATGAAAATCGATTTTTTTTTTTTTTTGATAATGGGTTACCTTGGTGACATGGATAAAAAACTATTATTATTGGTTGTTAGTTGTTACGGGTACACGTTTAAACAATAAATTAATGGGCAACAACAATTAACTATGATGGGAGTGGAAACGTGAAGATACGTTTCTATTTATTTTTTGGTTCATTTTTATGCACGGGTAAAGCTTTGCAGGACAGCTAGTATACGTACAGTAGTGTGCTAAGGGAAGGGGAGATTATTAATTACATTTCTCTACATTAGCCTTAAAATCAGTATTCTGGTAAATATGGATATTGTTTCTTCTTCTTACTCTCAGAATTTTCGCCACCAATTTAAAATCATGCCATCTGTTCATGTTGTGAACTATTTCTCTTAATTTATCCACTCCCATAGTTCCTCCATGACCACGTCAATTTACCTTTTTCTAAGTCTTTTACGAGGTCTTATTCCCTGGGGTTTTCACTCCAGTACTTTTCTAACGGAATCTATTTCTCCTCTTCGCATTATTTGGCTTAGTATTGAAGCTGTTCTTCTTCTTAAAGCTAGCCTTCTTAGACGTTCCGTTACGTCAAAACATGACTTCTGTCGAACGGAAAGTTTTGCTTAATATTAATTCTTATGAACACGCGCACTTCGGTTACGACATGTTACATCACACTTGGAGACATAAGGTGACGGATAGGTTGCTGATTAGAGCAAAATTGACGGACGACGGAAACCCCTAGTCACTAGCCATTAAGCATTGCAACGTGCAGTTGCTTTGTTCTGCTATGCAGCATAGTACGCTCTGTACTTTTTTTCTATAAAATGAAAGACGAAATTCTCCGTACTTGTTTCTTTTTGAATTAATATTATGAAACCATAATCGTTTATCCCTCCTTTTTTTCCTCTACTGCAATATTAGAAATAACAAAGAGTTTTTCGTCGGAAGAATAGTCCATGGTGAAATTCCAAAATTAACTTTTGAAACTACAACGAAACGTACACACAGACGACTTTTTGGAATAGTAATACGAACAAGATTGAATGAGACGTACCTGGTGACTGGTGTGCGCTTTTTTTCCGTTCCATCACGTTACGTCACCAACCGTCTTGGAGCTGTATAGAAATACTGTGAAATAATGGAATTGGAACGTATCCAGTGTTCACGTTGCTTCGTTCGTGATAATTATCCACTAAATCCCTCCGCACTGAAAATATCTCTAAAATGTTCGGCTCTGTATAACCATATATTGTATATGAATTCAATACCGAAACAAAAATTGTGAAAGCAAATACAAAAGTGTAAAATCTAACATTAGTCTATTACGAGATATTATTATTAGACACATTAATTATTATGTTTTACATTCTGTACGCATCAAACAAACCGTAATAATTTTGAAAATTATAATTATACATACCTACCTATTAAGTATTAAGTAATTAGCGTGCTAAAATATATAATTGCCTGTATACTATATATAAAAAAAATTATATAAATGAACAGAATCAAGGATGTAAATCGATTTGATGATTCTCACGAAAAATAATAATATGATGTCGATTATTAATACTATTGTGGGCGTAATAAAACTACAATGGAAACACGAGTAATTATTTAGGTCTAGGACATCGTTCGATTATTATAATGTTACATTTTCCGTACTATTACTATCTTATAGTTAGTTCATTAGTTGGAACAAAACAATAGAAAAATCTACTGTTTTAAGAGTGCAATATTAATAATTAAAACACGCGATTTTCCATATTATTTTATAACGGTCCGAATTGGATAATTTTTCCGATTTTTTTTTTATTAAAACGATTATAATAAATATTATGTTAAGTGAATGAGGTGATGCCGAACGAAGGATATATTGCCTAATGGATTATTTTTATTCAAGTACACGACTAATGAATAATTATTGTTGCGAAAAAGCATGTGTGAGGTTTATAATACATAGGTATGTTTTTTTTTTTTTGAGTTTTATTTTTAAGCTTCAATTGAATTATCGTGAATTAGTATATGTATTTTTAATTTTTTATTATATTTGATAGAAATCATGAGATTTACAATACAAACAAATCGAATAATGCGCTGGTTGAACAATAATGACGTGTTTCGTTTTTCAGGTATGTATAGATATAAACTGATATAAGGGTAATACATGGTAGTTATATAGATAATTTGAAATTTCCTCATGTTTAAATGTATATATCATAATATTTTACTATTTCATAAGTTCAATATTTAAACAATCCTTTCGAATAACTATATGGATACCTGTTACCCATAATATAATAACTAATAGAAGGTGAAATTGTATCGTTATAAAATTAAATATTTAAAAAAAAAAACATGTATTTTAATAATTGTTTTTTGTAGAAACTTCACATTTTTACTGATTATTAATTTTAGCATTTTATAGATATAAAATAACAAAAATTGTTTGCTTTAAGGATGTTAATAATTTATTGTTTTTGTCTTTTTTTATATAGCTCTATTTCAAACTATTTAGACTAAATATAGGCTTTTCCATTTTTTTGTATCATATTTCTTGTACTAGTCCAATTCTCGTGACAAATATTGAATTCCATCACACGTTTTTTATTTGTATTTCTGATTTTATAAAATTAGACCACCTTCCTTTTCATGCCGTTAATGTACTTTTCGTATAGTATTTATTGATTTAATCGATCAAATCAACCTATTTTTCTTTGTCTTCGTCAATTTGTATTAAACAAATCATATACAGTGTCCCACAAACATTTGGCAGTATAACGCAAATGCTTATAAAGTTTTTTTGCGATGACCCCGTAGATTTTTACATAGGTATTATTTTAATTTTCTCTTGTATAACGTCAATATTAGTAAAATAATTAATTATGACATTTAATAATATGAATATAAATATAGAGAATTAATTACTTGATAAATTAAAAATTAAAAA